CGACTTCCTTTGTTTTATGCGCAGAGTCGGTGAAAATAAAATTTCTTCAATGGTAAAAAAAATATTTATTGAACGTAATAAATAAAACTGGTGTATATACAATATTCGATTGAAAAATCGCACGCAGTTAACAAAATAGGCAAACATATCGAAAACTGATATGACGTGTTAATGGCATGTTCGACGTTGCGAATAGAAACACAATGAAATCACATTAACCTATAAGTATAAATGTAAGGTATAAAAGCACGAATATTTGCCCGTTTATCCCAGTTTGTATGAAAAGTAAAACCCTAATTATCTTTATATACGTAAAACATTGGAAATACCTTTCACCAATAACATACCAAAGATTTATAAATCATGAAGAACAGAAGAATCAAGAAGATAGAAAAATCGATAAAAAGATATTTTCTGAAACCTTCCAATTCTATACTCTACTCTTCTTCGAGAGATAAAAAAGAAAAACAAGAGGTCGATCTAAAAATTTACATTCACGTGCCACATCAATCAAGCTGCGATCAAGTGTCGTTCTTCGTTACTTTTAAACCGCGTTGTTTGCAATCCCAACTCGATGTTATGGCGATAGTTGCATCTTGCAACTATTTGGGCTCTCTTTTCCGCGTGGGTAAACGGTCAATCTCGATACGAGAAAGTAAGCTATGATCAATCCGTGAAAGAACGGGATCAATGTCATTTCCATATTTGGGTCGGTTTCGCTTGAGCATAGGTTGGCGCGTAGCTCCACGGATAAGTCGGCAACGCTGGCTTAGGTACCTGATATGCGACATTCGGGTAATAATAGAATGGATATACCGGTTTGATCGGCTTATATAAAAGCGGATTGATTACCGCAGTTTGCAATCCGTAGGTCGGATGTGTCGTTGATGGAGTTTGTACGGGATGCACGTGAGTTGGCGTTGAAGGGACCACTGGTTGCAAAGAAGTCACTGGATGAAGAGGCGTCACTACTGGATGAAGTGGATGAAGTGGAGTTGCAACAGGATGCACGGGAAATGGCACGGTATTAACTGGTGGAGACGAGGGAGCAGCGGGTCGATTTATCGAGGGAATTGACGGTGTCGTAGAGGCTGTGGATGGTTTCGTTTCGGAAGTAGGCTTCTGACCGTGATCTGCAGGAATCGGTAGTCCAAAGTGTGTAGGAAAGGAACTCGGTTGAACGGATGCGACAGCGCCGGGTGCCAAAAAGGCAGGACCGTAGGTTGGTACGCTCGATGCGAAAGCTGTACCGGCAATTAAAGTGGGAACGAATCCACCGTAAACGGGAACTCCTGGCCCGGGTGATGATTGGGGTGGCGCAGGAACGGAAGAACCAAGCTGTGAGGTTCCATCGCCTTTAGCAGCCTGAGGGGGTTGCGCGGTTGTGGTTGTCGCTGTTGTAGTAGTGGTTGGAGGCTGAATAGTTGTCGACAGTCCATAGTTAAGCGGAAATCCCGGACTGATTGTTGTCCCTGGCAAAAAAGGTGATTGATTGAAAGCTGTATTTCCAGAGCCCAAGAGTACGGTATTCTGTTGCGTATTTAAACCGTGAATCTTCATTCGCTGTCCGAGGGAAGCCAGAAGATCTTGATTCTGTACGAAGCTCTGCTGATTTTGTGCGTACCTTCCTGCTGCGTCTGCACTTTGGGCCTGCGTAGCGAGTGCTCGCTGCAATTGAGCGATCAATCGATCCTTCTCGAGGGACTGTATTTGTTCTAGAGTTTCTCGGGCGCTAAGCGTTCCAGATGCGTACGACGGTAGAGGTCCTGGAAAACTTTGCGTGCTTTGCGAGCTAGTCTCGAAATTTTGGAACTGGCCGTTCGGATTTTGAACTTGGCTATTGTGGCCTAAGAATTGATCGGCATGTGGTGCGAAGTCTTGCTCATTTGGAGGAGCACCATAAAGTTGTTGTATGGCTTGCGCATTTTCCGCGAGGAAAAGCGCCGCGTCCGACAATTGCGCCTGCGGCAGTGCGATGTTCTGGCTCTGGAAGTTCGCCGATTGACCTTGGTTGTCACTTTCGGGTTTCTGTGCTGCCTGAGCCGGGGAAAAAGTTTGCGACGCGGAATAACCAGGTAACCTTTGATTTTGTGGTGGTAAGTAATTGGCCGAATGAGTTGCAAATGGTTCATCGTTTTGAGTGGATATTGGATTCGGTTCGATGAAATCGACCTGTCTAATTGGACTTGGAACTTCCTGTTCGAGCAAACCACTCGGACGACCATCAAAGTTGTTCGAATGTTGTTGGTTGAAATGACCGTGGAATTGCAATTTATCTCGGTGCTGTTGATTGTGTGATACAGGTCTCATTGGAGATGAATTCTGATAACCCGGTGGCCCGTATTTGGTAATAGGTCGATTTATTTGTGCGGGATGTCTATTAACGATACGCCCTCTGTGGCCGGGTTGTCCAATTTGCAAACGAGCTCTCGAAGCTAACGCGAAATTGTTTGGTCTCCTATAAGGATACCCTGAATCTCTTTTTTTCTGAACTTCCGATTCCTTGCCATCGACATCGCTTTCCCCCTCGCCGAGGTCTACTACTTCTAACTTCGTAATTTCCGGTTTCTCTTCAGCTTCCTCGGTTTCAGTTTCCGCTGTGACATACAGCAAGCTCGTAACTAGTAAACACAATATCTAAAATGATAAAGTAATCGGCCCGTTAATAAATAAAAACGGTATGAACCGTAGAACGATCTCGTATCACGTATACATACATATACTTTTCGAAAAGTTTGTGGTATACTTACTAGAAGGAACTTCATGTTAGTAATCCAATTGCACTTAGCACTACACCGATCAAATGTTTCCTACGCTATAGTTAAAATAGTTAAAATCTCTGCAGGTTCGTTCGATATGTAATCAGAGTATCTGCACTGGAGAAAACTAATTTCTTCCAGGATGGACAGGCCCGCACCGACTAAGACCACGGCCATACCTGCACATGTATAAATACAGTCGGGTCGCGACCATTCACGAATTACAATAGACTTTCTTGCCGGCTTTCATCGATCACACTTAGGCAATGCTGTTACGGATTGGTGATGTTACACATATCGATGTAAAGTATCGTCTTCTCCCGACAAATTAAAATATTTTAGCATTAGCTTGGCATGTTCCTCATCGGAAACGCGTTGGCTTGAACAAGAAACGCAAAGTCAGATTCACGAAAGGAAAATTGAATCGCTTAGCTAACAGTAAATTAGTTTCATTAGATTCGTGTCTACTACTATTGACAGTAGAAACGCAAGTTCGCGAACAAAACCGACGGTCGTATGACAGTCGTAATTTAAAATTTCCGGTATAATATGAATAGTTAGATTTCTGTCGTGTTTTCGCTTTAAATTTCCCGCCGTAAATTCTTGTTTTTTTTTTTTTCTTTTGCAGAAAAGCCAGAGGAAAAGCAACATCGTTTTGCTGTCTGCTTAAAAAAAACGTCCTTATACGAAATGGCACTTGATATCATTCTCATCACGTACTTCTTCTCCAAAGTCTTCGAAGCGTTCGAAGTCTCAGTGAAAGTATTTAAAATCATCAAGTCCTAAAGAATACGGAATAAGTATTTGTTTATTTTAATATATTCCCGTTGTGTAATTCCTGATTATACGTAAGTCACGCGTGTCCGAATTCTCCGAAGTGCTTCAAATTTCGCTCACAGTTACTCACTTTGATTTACCAAAAAAGTTTCGATCAGATAGCACAGTTTGCGCCACCAAAGAGATCCGCGAACTTTTTTATTTCATGAAAGACTTCTTTAAAATTCACGGTGTCCCACCGGCAGAATATTTGTCGATTTGCACAATATTGACTACCAAAGAAATCGAAATATGCGGCATTCTTTATACATGCACACGTTTAAAGAGAATAGACAGACAGAAGCAATGTGCCAGTGCCAACGTCGGACATAGTTTCTATCCGCTATTCCAATGACTTTATAACTAATCGAAATACCGCTCAAATTACAACGTCAAACTGCATCCGATGATGTCATTTGATTCGACTTGCTGCTTACCTCGACAGGAAGTCTATTGTGCGACAATGCGCCAACGTAACAACGATGTAAGATGCATTCTCGTATCAAAGATGAAACTTTAGATGAATGTCTAATAAGATCGTTACTATGAATCACATAGAATACATTATCTCCACGTCGAAAGAAGAATTGAAATTGTTTCTTCTAGATTGCGTTTTAACCGCTTGTTTTCCACGTACATTCATTAAAACACATCGTTAATGTTTTCATCGTACTAAATACATAGGGGAGATAACATTAAACAAACAAATGTGTAAATTTAATTATTTTCTGTATTTCACATTACAAGATACAACAAAATATTGTAATTAACGTACATTTGCTAAAGCAGCTATGTACATTGAATATTACATCCAAAAATAGTGTTGAGCGTTCTGAGTATTAACGTGGCGGAAAAATTTCGTTTGGTTTTGTTCTGAGCTTAATTCTATTAAAGTAAAAACGTAAAATAACTCGGTTATTCTTCCTTGCGATTGCCATGGTCGTTTCCTTGAGTTTGAAAATGTTCTATATTACTAGCTCTGGAACACCTGATTTAAGCCACGTAGTAGGAGCTATAGTAGTAAGGGTACGAGCGGTAGGCGTAGGGCAAGCTGTAACTGGCACTGTAGGCAATTGGTGCTGCAGCATAAGAAGTGTATGCAACTGGTGCAATTGGTGCAACTGGGGCAGTGTAGCTCAGCAATAGACCTCTCTTGTCTCGTGGTGCGTCCGCAGCTTCTGCGCTCGGTAACTGTTCAATCTTTTCAGGCTCTGCTGGTTTCTCTGCAGCGAAGGCTACAGCGAACAGAGCCAAGAGAACGATAGCCTAAAAACAATAAATATTTGAGAATTGGAAAACAATCTCACGACACATAAGATTATTCGACATTTTGTTCAACTGTATATGTCTTTTTTCTTTTTTGTTTTAATGACAGGTTATTATTTAAAGCGGTAATTATAATTGACAGTTGCCTTTACATTTATGACAGCAATTAAACTGAATGTGTTTTCGAATGATTGCATATTGAAGATACATAATCTTCCAGCCAACTAAATGCATATTCTTATATTTTTTCCAAACAACGGTACGATTATAGTTTCATCTCGCGTTACAGATTATTATGTTTTTAAAAAAAATAACAAAGAGAGATTAAAGTGTATAATATAATTAATGTTTGATACGTAAAAGCGTAATGATTATACTTACAACGAAGCACTTCATAGTTGATGAGTTTGGTAGATCTTTGGAGATCTCAGCTCGTATGTTGAACTGGGAGCGAATGATGCTCTTGCTTTTTGGTGGATACCTTTATATACCTGACGAGTAGATCGTCCTATGCGCGTCACTCGTCGATTGATCAATGCTCGAGGACACGCGTATCGTGTATGTATCAAATACGCATGTGTGTATGTGTGTGTGAGCCGGTGGATGTTGCACGGGGTTGTTACACGTCCTATTGTTTACGGAGTAGCATACGTAATCCGTGTACGTGTGCAGTCAACGTTGTCGAAGACGATGAGGTCTGCTAAGGAATCTCGTTCACGTATTCCTGAAGCAAACCCGTGTAAGTACAACCTCTGATGCATAGCACGCGGATTAAGCAAGAGACCTTGGCAATCGGCCAAATACGAACGAAAGTGTTTTACCTCATATAACGTAATACATAACTTCTCTTCGCATCGTGATATAATTGTAACAAGTTCTCTGAACCTTAATGATCCTAATACACGATTATGAATAAAACAAAAAAAAAAACAAAAAAAAAAAGGATTTTCAAATATGCCGTAATAAGAAAATTGTCGATAGTTTCAATTTTGCGATTTTGGGAAAAAATTTTCAACGAATGTTTTCTAGAGCATTTGATTAATAAATTCAGTAAATTATATTACAGAAAAAGAAAACAAAGAACATTTTCAGGATGCTCAATCATTTAATATACGATTTTATATAATGTTATTATAGATATTTATTAAAATTGTTTTCCTACAACAAGTGAATGTTGTAATTTGCTAAAACGTAGAATTCCGATTGGATTATGTAGTTTATGACATCAGATGTTGCAAAGAAAAACCTAAAAATCAGATACTTAATTAAAACTATGTTTTACATCACAATCGATTTCCTAAGCATCAAATAAAACGTGTCTTATGATTGAATTTAAACTAAGGGCGCGCCTTTAATGATTTGAATTTAAATTTCGGAAGAAATCCCGGTCACTATCTAATATTATTATTATTCTTTTGACGCATATGTATTGCTAGAGTTCGCTAAATTGGTCGGTGATCATTTGCATATCGATTCCGCCGGTATTTTGATTGGATTCATTTCCAACGAATGTTGTGTTTTCTTCAATAGTGAAAGCAAAAAATTCCATTTCAGGGACTTAAGTTGACAAAAAATACGGATTCTCACGATAATAGATCCGGTCTCCTGATCGTGTTGATTGCATGCAGAAAATGCAAAATTATGGATATTAGTAGAGCAACATTTCTTCGAACAAAAAATTACGATTTAATGATGCGATAGTCGACCGAGAACTGAAATTTCAAGGCCGAAGGAGTGAAAATTATCTTCATCCTTTGTCAGGTATCTTTCAGAGAAGAAAAAATTTGTTTGTTTTTTTATCATTTTAAATAAGGATAGGTTACTTAAAACGAATCCTAGAAACCCCTTGAAACGCAAGAATTCAAAACTCTCGAAACTCAGGTAAGAAAAAATATGATATCATTGAACAAACAATTATTTACAGCCTGAATAAAGAATATTTGATTTATGTGTATCTGGAATGTGAAATGTGAAATTGTTTGTTTTTAAAAATATAAGCAAATGTGCGATCAATCGTAATTCTAGGTTGATAATATAAAATATCTAAATCTAAAGAAATTAATCAAAAACATATCTTGTTAAATTACCATTAATGGTATACTCTGGAAGACTTTTCAACAAAAAAATAAGTAGATTAAATCTAGAAAGAATTCGGATGTTAATGTATTCAAACATTATTGGAATTAGGTAAGTTTGTACATTGGTACACAGTTTAACTGTGACCAATATAAAAATTTATATAAAACTATTAATTCCATTCTTTAAAACAAGAAAGTTTTCTTACAATATAAAATCAGCACTTCAAGTTTTTAAAGTTTCAAAATCTTACAGTTTTTGATTCGAGAATTTAAAAATTTATCCATAATCTTAAATATATATTCAAAGTCATTTTTGTCTATATAAAAAAGTAAATTATTCAACGAGTTCACTAATATGAATATTTTATACATATTTATGATATTTTTTAGTTCAGATGAAAAATTAACTGTTGCATATCATTTTCAAAATTAAAAATGGTATACTTTGCAATTTAGATTCATCGTTTTGAACTTCGCTTATACGAACGCAAGCAAATGAGAACGCGACATGTTTTTGCCTAATTAATAATCTCGATGCAATTTATTCGTCTGCGGTTTTGCTTTCAAATTCTTCTTGGGAACACGATATCAACACCATCCCAATATTTTCTCATGAATTTTAATGTAATGAATTTAACGGGAGTTATAAACTTACAATAATATGATATATGAAAAAGGATGCAAATAAAGATAATTCATTGTTTAACTTTATTATTTATTATAAATATACATAATATTGTATACATAATATGAAGAAAATATTTTATATCACATTTTAAAATCACACGATAAAATCTCATATTATTTTATATCACATGGTATCACTTGATAACCTGCAACATAAGAATATATTTTTCTTCCACTTTTTTTTTATTTTATAAAAAAAATAGAATAAATAGCTATTTAATTTTCAGATAGAGCTAATTGTATGTAAATCACTAACATTATTACATTAATTCTATTCATCATTACAATAATTTAGTTTAAAAGTATGTATTTTTTAAAAATTCGTATATATTTACCTAGGAGTAAAGATTTATAAACTGGGTCAAATCTTCCTTGTTTAAAATATCGAACTCATTCTGTAAAAAGACAATTTTTTTTTAATTTTTTTTTCAAAAACCCGCGATTATATTTTTAAAGTACTACTTTTTCTCAGAGGTAGTGACGAAATGTGTCATATCATAAAAAATCAAATATGTACATAAACACATCATTGAAAATCCAAATTAATATTTCTATCAAAAATTACATAAACACTCACTAATTCAAGCGAAAATTTCAAACATGTTTCTTATAAATTCAGTTCTCATTAAATTGCAGATCCAGTAACGTTCTGTAATGAAAAGGAAAAAAGTTATAATAAAATCCATATTTATTTATTGCAAATTTAATATTGTTAAAAATAATTCAGATAGGAGCGAAAGACATAAGTATGTCTTCATTTTAATCAGTTGAACTATGAATTCATCATAAATTTTTTAATAATCAATTTTAAAAGTGATATTGATTAATATATTATACTTCATATATATATAACTTTTCCTCCACTTCTGCTTTTTTATTTCAGGTCTGATTAATTTTATCATGCTATATGTTTAAGAAAAAGAAAAAAAATACTTACATGTTTAATAAATTGACCATTTTCATCAAGCCATTATTAAATACTCTAAAACAGAAAGCTAACATATACTAATATGAAAATTCTCAAGTGATAAAATGTTTTATTTCCTTTGAAATTATCAGATAGGAGCGAAAGATTAATGTATTCATATTAAATCATTTGAACTATGAATTCATCATTTATGTATTACAAATATTTTTGTTTTTTTAAGAATTAATAAAGGCATACCATTATTATTAAAACTTTCCAAATTTTCCTTGAACAAAAATTCTTGGTACATCTATTTTTTCTTTCAAATTTATAGTACGTCTTTGTACATAATTACATGTTAAAATTTTAAAACCAACTGATTCAAATAAATTCAATACTTCTTCCTCTGAAAAATAATATGCCCTGGAATAAGATAAAAAACTTTATACATCAATCATAGTATAGTTTTGATAAATGTACAATACATTTAAGGATCTAAATAAATATTACCTGGTACCATCTTGTCTCATATATAGATTTTCACTGATTTTGTGACCAGGTTTAAACCTTAATTGGGCCATATCATATAGACCATAATCTCTAAAAAGTACAATTCCTCCAGTATCAAGAACATTATATAAATTTTCCACGACTCTAAAATGTTATAATTTTTAATAAATTGCAATAAAACAAAAGTTTACACATAGAAAATAGCTCACTTTCTAAAATTTTTTGGATGAATAGCCGATAATACAAATATCAATGTTATTATGTTTACCGGGCAATTCACTTGCTGGAAACAATTTTCAGTCGTAATATCCGTTTGGAAAATCTTCATATTCTCTGGATCATATAATAAATGTTTCTGTAAAAGATAAAATTATATGGCATGCGATAATAGGTACGTAGATATGTTAATAAATAAATGAATACCTTTGTTAACTCCACAGCTTTAGGAGAGAGATCACAAGCAAATATCATTTTAAATTTTAGTCCATCTTCGATCAATGGAAATATGAAATTTCCAACACCGCAGCCGACTTCTAGAAGGGCAACTCGATTATTTCCGGAATTCAGGCCTAATAATTCATGAAACTCCCTGGTGGTCCAATGTCTGTCCTTAAAAAATCTAGTATCGTTTCGTTTGTAAAATAGGTCCCAATGCTTCTTAGTGTTTTTCTCCAGTTCATTAGCTTGAAATTCAGGAACCAATCGTGAATTTTGTGCTTGCATTTTCTCTATTTCCTCTTGAGTGAGTTGCTTCGCCACGTGGCCTACATTATATTCACTACTCCTCGTTGATTCAGCCATTTTCCCAAACTTCGCCGCAGTAGAAATTTCGTGAATTGGTAAACAATGCAAATATTTTAAAGATCTTTCTGGATTTACAAATGTACCTTATTAGATGAAACATTTACACGAATACAGAGACACGGTTATTAAAATCGAGTAACCACTCGACAAAACGACCTCCCACCTTCGAGTCTCAAAAGGAAATGGACGAGAAACGTGTGTAACATGGATATCTCCCCACCAAGTGGTGATGCGCCTAGTCTAGTAATATCAGGGAGGCCACAACTTACTAGGAAATTTTACAAACTAGAATCTGTATTACCATTTTTGCAAAAAATCGAATAAATACAATAAGATTTTGATACATAAAATAATTACAGAATAAGATTCGCATAAGATGACACATGTTATTAGTTATTAGTGTTAAAGAATTTTTTTTACCGGTTCTTGAAGATTATATTATATACTATATTTTTGGTATTCTGTTATAAAAAAAATTTTATTCCAATGATATTTTCAAATTAACGTAACCTTTAGCCATGTTACTTTAATTTCTTCAGGTTAATTTAATTTAAGACATTGAAAATCATTAATATGAATTCCACGTGTGTATGAACTTTTCGATAAATTAATATTCGATCCTCGTACGAAACGAATATTTTCTGACTGCATACAGCATTGTCACACAATGACACAGTGCTGAAAGGGGTTAATCGTGACTGAAATTTATCTGATGATTCTACTATTTCGTTTAGAACTCACATAGTCATTCTATATAAAATTTAATGTATTGTTTATATTCAATAAAAATAATCACGATTAGATACACATTGTACAGTTTCATTTTCTAAGAAAAAGAAAAACTGTATACGATAACAGGCGTTAATGATATAATATCACAACTCGTCAAACAACGATTGTAACTTTCATGAAAGGAATCAATAAGAATTAATTAATGATTCCGTAACTTAAATCTTTTGGTTGTACAGTTTCTATATTTATTTTATCAATTATCGTATTACGTTCTGTGATCACTTCTTAATTTGCAAACAGAACAGGGTCAGAAAGAAAAATTAATCGTTCAAGTTGTATGTAGGTCATTGAGAACCAGAATTTTGTAGAGAGCTTGGCAGAAGATATAACGATAGATTAACTGAATGAAATGAAAAACACGTTTCACAACTGATAGTCGTTAGTGCTTCCTCGAATAATATATTTGACGGTACTTCTACATTGTCATGGAACTGTTGCAAATTTAAAAATAATTGGTATCTTTTTAGATATCTGTGGGACGTTTCACGTTGTAAAATGTACGCATTAAAAGTGATTAAAGAAAAAAGAATTATTTCGCTATATAAAGGAGATTAAGGTATTACGGGAATCTTTCTTGTCTTTGCTGCACATTACGCCTGCCAGGTAAGCTTTTTTGATTTACATAATTTCAAATCCTTTTGACGTTTTCATTAAGCAACCAGTAAGCCATCCTTTTTTCTACAAAATTGATTACGTGACGGAATCCTCAGACATTCTGTTGCGACATTTAACTTTATTCCTAGCGAGAAAAGTAATAAAAAAAAGAAACGTCTACCATATCCTCGTGCTAAAATCAGTGAAAAAGAAACGTCGTAAATCTGCTTTCACGTTCGGCAAATTAAAATTAATTTTTTCCTGAATCAGTGAAATTTCATCTCGTAAATTTAGATATTCTCGTATTTCAATATAACTCGAATGTATATAACAAATGTATATCTGCGTAATATTTCAGAATATTTCTTTCCACAACGAAACAGAAATTCATATCAAGTATGTATTAATTTGCGAGTTAATTGCAGTTTTTTTTTTTTAAACTTGTCTAAATGTACTGAAGGTATTCGATATATGCTAAACGGCACGTCCTTTAGAAATTAACGTTGGCAGAGGCGTAACCCGTTGAGAGTCGAAGAGCATCGAGGAGAGATAGACACACGGGCGTGTAATTGTAGGCGCGGCGAAGATGCTTCGACCGTGCCTTTTCCATTTGTCGAGGCAGCCAGCATCGAAGCATCTTATACCGTTCGTCCTCGTGGGCATTCCAAGCGGGAATTCTCGAAAGCCAGTTGTGCCGTAGAAACACGCGTCGCGGCCTGCCGCTCGCCGGTACTTTCAAGTGCTCGTAAAACTGCTGTTTTCTCGCTCTGTGCTGTTTTCGAGTATACCGAATTTTCCTGACAGGGGACCATTATCGAGCACCAAAGTGTTTGAGTAACTACTTGACCTCGACGTCTACAAATCTTACGGTCAAATTCTGCTGAGTAAGTGTTGACTTTCAACTTAATATTTTTTTTATTGGCAAATAAAGTTGCCGTTTAAATGCTCGTGCTAATCTTTTACTTTGATAATCAACTAACTCAATGATATATTTAAAAAAACAAATACGTACGATACTATATTGATTTAGAATATTTGACAAGCAAACACGCTGTCAAATAATATATAACGTATTACGTTGAAATTGATCTTAAATGTATTAAACGTCGTGAAAACGCGTCAATAAAAATTTCACGATGAACGTTAAGCTCATCGCACTTAGAACTGCAATGAAGCGATAAGTTGATCAAGGGTGAAGTAGAGCGTGAATCGAGAAACTGAGTAACAGATACAAAAAAAAAAAAAAA